CTCCCCCCTCCTCCTCTTCTTCTTCTTCTTCGATTTATTTATTATGTATACAGCGTTCTGGTGCCTACAGGACAGAGGAGGGCACCAGATCTCACTTCAGATGGTTGAGAGGCACCATGTGGTTGCTGGGAATTGAACTCAGGATTTCTGGAAGAGCAGCCAGCGCTCTTAACCACTGAATTATTTTGCCAGCCCTAGGGCTAGCTTCTTATGTATGCGTCTATAGATAGAATTAACTGTATAATTTGTCTTGTTCGACATTACTCTTAAAAATTGAGGTTCTTGGGTATCAAACCCAGGGTCTTGCACATACTTGGCAAGCGCTTTACCAACTGAGTGACATCCTAAGCCTCTGAGTCAAACTTTGCGATGTTTATTGTGATAACTGAAAATGGATACAGGGATTCATTTACATTTTTGTATGTCCACAAGCCATTTGTTTATGAAATAACAATTGGTGGACTTACTGTGTCTTCTATACCAGTTAACTTCCTAAAGTTAGGAAATAATACCATGAATTCTAAGCAAAAAAACTAAGGTATTTTAATGTTTTTTCCTCATTCATTTTAGCTCTGCACCAAATGAGGCGGCGGCAGCAGCAGCAGCAGCAGCAGCAGCAGCAGCAGCAGCAGCAGCAGCGTCACCGGAAGTGATTGTTTTGGATGACTCAGATGAAAAGGAGGACGACAGTGCAGAGAGCAACGGAGAGATGCTCTCCGAGGATTCCGAGTCTGTTGAAGAGATAGAGTGTAGACCTGGCACTTCTCAGGAATGTGCAGAGGTTGCAGTTCGACCATCGGTTATCCAAAGGCTGGAGCGGGGACAGCAGCAGTCCTTGGAGTTGGCTCATAAAGTTGAGAGTGGTGTGAAAAAAGTTAATGCAGTTGGTGTTGTTCAGGCTACAACTAGTGGAGAGTTAGTGCGTCCCCCAGTGATTTGTAATGCTCCTGCCAGCTCTTTGCCTAGAGGCTCTTTCGAGAGACCAGTTGCGGCTAACAGTGTTCCTCGGTTAGTACTGGCAGTGGCTTCAGATTCCTTTCCAGCTTGTGACACAGAGAACCTTGACACATACTTTGACCCCCCAGATCAGGGCTCTAGCAATTCACAGTCTCAACACAAAGCAAAAGATCCAAAAAAGAAACCTTTAAATATTAATTTAGACAAATTGCTTGCACAGAGAGATCTCAGAGCTAAGGGTGCATCTTTTTCCCCTGTTGTACGAGTGCGGGAGCTAACAGGCGCTGAGCTTTGTTCTCTAAGAGTTGAGTCTTCTGAGTCAGGGGCAGGCACAGCAGGAAGCCTCAGTGAGATTGACACACCCTCAGATGCAGCCCGTGAAGGTGCCGTTCCAAAGCGTCGTGAGGCATCTCCTTCAAATGCAGTTCATCCACAAGAAGAAACAAACTTGGTTCTTAACAGGCCAGCACTTCGTGACTCTCTTCAGCCAGTACCTGGTCATTCCCAAGCTGCCGTAAATGACTTAAGTCAGTTGGAGGAAGAGGAGAAGGAGGAGGAGGAAGAGGAGGAGGAGGAGGAGGAAGAGGAGGAGGTTGAGGTTGAGGTTGAGGTTGACCTAGAGTATGAGAGCTATGAATCTGCAGGCTCTGACATGAGTTTTGATTGTGCGTCCTCCTGCCAGTCACCGAGTCCGCTGTCTGAACTGAGCGCTATAGAAATAAACGCATCAGAAGAAGCACAGGCTGATGTCCAGCCTAGCAATGAAACACCTCCTGTTTCTGGAGCAACTTCCGCTAATGGCAGCCATTCCCGTCAGGGGCATATCAGCTGTTCTCAAGTGATCACACAGAACACACAGCTCGTTAGTTTGGTTGACGAAAGCTATGAGTCTAGTGGCTCTGAAGTGAATTTTGATGGTGAGGACTCACTTCCGTCCACCAGTCATGGTCCCCCACTGCTGGCGGCAGCAAACCTGCCTACACAGATGGCTGTCCGCTTGGTTGACAGCTATGGAAGCGGCAGCTCTGAGCGATGGGAGGATTCTGGGTCCTCAGCTGATGAGATCCTAGCAGCAGCGGGACAACAACAACCTCTGAAGAACCTGGTTGATGAGAAGTACGGGTCAAGTAGCTTCAGTTCTGATAGTGATGCAGCTCCACAAATGCCTGCTCAAGAAAGAAGCCCAAGAGACAGAGATGTCCAACAGGAAAATGAACACCAACCCCGCAGTGCTGATGCACATCCTGGACATGATGAACCCCAGAGAGAAGCAGAAGAACTAAATGTTCCGAACCAGAATACCAGCCGTGGGGATATGAACTGTGAGTCTCATGGTCCTGAAATGGGTTTTCATGCTGATGCTCAATTAGAGGCTGATCAATCTCCAGTAAACCCTGAGGAAATAGATCTTGACGTAGATAATCAGAGTGTTCACTCTGGCATTTCTAATCTAAGTTTTGATTCCCATGCTTCTTATCAGTCAGCTAATGATGAACCTCAAGGGGCTTGGGATGAAGTAAATCTTGATGAGTTAAACGCTGACATGGAAGCTAAGAGCTATGCCTACTCCAGTTCTGAGTTGACATTTGATTCCGATTCCCCTCTTCTGTCAGTTACTGAGCAGTCTCTGCTGGATATTGAAGGACTGAACGAAGATGACTTTAGCCTGGAAGAAGAAAGCTGTTTGTCAAGTAGCTCTGACATAACCTTTGACTCTGATATTCCCGGTGACTCAGTAGCTGACCAACTTCAAGTAGCTGTTTATGAGGAGGAACCTGTTGATCTGGAAAATAAGATTAATGAATCTTGTGTTTCTGAAATAACGTATGGTTCTGATATTCCTCTTCATTCAGGAAGTGATCACCCTGAAGTACCTGCTAAAGAAGTAACCATTCAGAAAGAAGAAAGCGCTCACTTAGAAGGGGAGGACGACAACCCCAGTGGGTCTGAGATATGTTTGGATTCTAATACTCATTCTGAAGTAGCTGTTAAAAAGATAAATTCCCCTAAAGAAGAGCAGGTACACATAGAACAAAAGGAAAATGAACCTACCAATTCTGAATTAAGTTTGAATCGCAATACTCTTAACTCAAAGCCTGGACATTCTGAAGATCCCATTGTAGTTCGTGTCTCTGAAACAGGACTTGATTCTGACCCCTCTCAGTCAGTCATTCGCAAATATGAAGTAATTGTCAAAAACGTATGCCCTCAGCAGGAAGAGCATGCTCAACCGCCAAGCAAAAGTGCAGAACCTCATTCTGAAATCAGTTCAGCTTCTTCTGCTTCTCATCCAGTGACAGAACCTTACGTAGGGAAGAAAGCAAAGAGAAAGACGAAGCATCTTGAGGAGGTCAGGAGTGACGATGAGTACGGCGACTTTGAACCAGCGTCTAACTCTGCTGGCTTTCCTCAGCCAGGGCCTGGGAAGCCTCAGCCAGCCTCTTTGAAAGGGGACCGTGTTGACCCAAACGATGAAAGTACTGAGCTTAGAGGAACTGGAGCAAATCTGAATGATACTGATTGTCTTGATTCAGTCATTAGCCAACCTCAGCTAGCTGTGAATGAAAACCATGTTGAACTGGAAGACACAAACAGCAAACCCAGTGATTCTCAAGCAGATGTTGATTCTGCTGACCACCTTCACTCACTGCCAAAAGAGGATGACGTGATCACAAAGATGAGCGAGTGGAAGGAAGAGGCAAAGGTCCTCGAAAAGAAGATCAGTGAACTTATTTATTCAAAACTAATACATGACTCTACCGTTTCTTTTCCTTCTGCAATGGATCAACTTGAACTAGCTCTTAAACAAATAAATCTTGATAGTAATGATCAAATGTCCTTGGAAAACAACAGCCAGGATGCCAGTTCTGAAACAAATTTGGATTCTGATGTCTCCGTTCAGTCAGCAGCTGAACCACCTGAAACTGTTTTCGAGCCTGAAGACACTGAACTTGAAGGTGGGAATCATGAGTCTTGTGATTCTGAAGTAAGTTGCGATCCTAATGACTCTGTCCAGCCAGAGGCTGATCAGCACAGTGACAGCGATGAGGACAGAGGGCAGACGGAGAAAAATGACCTGGAAGGAGAGGAGGATGAAGTGCAGGGTTTTGGAGTCACAAGTCTTTCCAATGTCCCTCAGCCATTTGCTGGGCAAACTGAAGTTGAAGTAGTTCAGGACATGAGCTGCTGGGAAGATTGTGGTGATTTGGAAGATAAGGCTGTTGAATCTAGTGACTCAAAAATAGACTTTCATTCTAATGAACCGCTTCAGTCCGTGCGTAATACAGTTCACGAGCCTGTTCAAGGAATAAATTTACTGAGAGGACATATTAGTCCGCATGATAGTGACTGTGAGCCCTGCATCTCTGCAATAGTGCCTATTTCAAACGTCATTTTTTGCTCAGTAATTCAGAAGCCACGGCATTTGCCTGAAACGAGTGTTGATCCCCGTGATGGTCCTGAAACGGGTGCTGATTCCAGTGATCCTTGTCAGTCAGTAGCAGGCCATCTTCAAGAACCTGTCAAGGAAATGAATCTGAAGGAAGACCGTATTTACCTGGAAGACAAAAGCTACAAGCTAGTTGATTTTGAACCAGCTTACTATCCTGATGCTCCTGTTCAGTGTGTGACAGCTCCATCTGTGGACAATGTGTCTGTCAAAGAAGCAAACTTGCAAGAAGAGAATGAGAATGATGTAGCAAGTGCAGCCTTTCAGCCATGCTGTTCCGAAGTAGTGTGCGGTTCCGGTTCCCACCTGCAGTCAGAAGTTGACCCACCTGCAGTGTCTTGCGGAGAAGCAGACCCCGAGAAGGAGGAGCTTGGCACAGAAGCCACCAACGAGCCTTGCGAGCCTGCAGTGCTGTACGACTCTGACGTGTCTTTTCAGATAGTACTTAACCAGCCTCAAACGTCCGATGGAGAAACAGAATCCCCACAGGTGCTGCTTTTGAACGTTGTGTCCAGTGACAGTGATTGTGATCGGGAAGTCATTTCTGATTCAAATATTTCTCTTCAGTTCGAAGCCAGTGATACAAATACAGATTCTGCTGGGCCCGCAACAATGGGAACATCCTACTGTAGATTCTGTGGTTGCGATGATGAAGCCTCTCAGTCAGTGACAAATCAATCCAAGGAAAGTTTCAGAATAATAAATCGGAAGAACGACTATATTATTCTGGGAGATCTTGCTTGTTCGTCTTGTGGTCGTGAACTCTGTTTCACTGTTGATCCCTCTGATCAGCCCTCGACCAGCCAGGTACCAGGGCCTGACCGTGACTGTGCAGCCGCAGAGGAGCAGAGCTCTGACCCTCACTGTTCTCGGTCCGGTCTGGAAGACACTACTCGGCCAGTGACTCGCCAACCGCAGAAAACTGCCCAAGGCACCAGTTTTTGGAACGTTCCAGGAAACGTTGCCTTTCAAGACGGGAGCTGCGCATCATCAAGTAGACTTGCAGCTCAGCGCTCTGCCTTTGCTGTGTCGGTGATCCGCCAGACCTCTGTGAAGCACATCCCTTTGAAGATACCAGATGCAGATCCAGAACCCGAGAGTCGTCAGGTTGCTGCACCTGAACCGGACCCTGACCAACCTCAGCCTGCTAAGAAAAGCCGCGACCTTAAGAAGGTAACTTTTGACATGAGAGTAACCAAGTACGAATATCTACCATTTCCTGTATACCCGGGAGAATATGTGGAAGAATATGTGGAAGAGTATGCACAACGGTATGCAGAGGGGTATGCACAAGAGTATGCACAACGGTATGCAGAAGGGTATGCACAAGAATATGCAGAGGGGTATGCACAAGAGTATGCACAAAGGTATGCACAAGAGTATGCACAACGGTATGCACAAGAGTATGCACAAGGGTATGCACAAGCGTATGCACAAGGGAATGCACAAAGGTATGCACAAGAGTATGCAGAACGGTATGCACAAGAGTATGCCCAAGAAAATGCACAACAGTATGCACAGGGGTATGCACAAGAGTGTGCAGAGCGGTATGCACAAGAGTATGCACAAGGGAATGCACAGGCGTATGCACAAGAGTATGCAGAACGGTATGCACAAGAGTATGCAGAAGGGAATGCACAGGCATATGCACAAGGGTATGCAGAACAGTATGCACAAGAGTACGTACAAGAGTATGCACAGCGGTACGCACAGGAGTATGTACAGCGGTACGCACAAGAGTATGCACAGTGGTACGCACAAGAGTATGCACAAGAGTATGCACAAGGGAATGCACAAGAGTATGCACGAGAATATGCACAGCGGTATGCACGAGAGTATGCACAAGGGAATGCACAAGAGTATGCACAAGGACATGCACAAGACTATGCACAAGGGAATGCACAAGAGTATGCAGAAGAGTATGCACAAGACTATGCACAAGGGAATGCGCAAGAATATGCAGAAGAGTATGCACAAGAGTATGCACAAAGGAATGCACAAGAGTATGCAGGAGAGTATGCACAAGGACATGCCCAAGAGTATGCACAAGGGAACGCACAAGAGTATGCAGAAGAGTATGCACAAGGACATGCCCAAGAGTATGCCCAAGAGTATGCACAAGAGTATGCCCAAGAGTATGCACAAGAGTATGCACAAGGACATGCACAAGAGTATGCAGAAGGGTATGCAGAAGGGTATGCACAAGGGTATGCTCAAGGGTATGCACAAGAGTATGCAGAAGAGCATGCAGAAGGGGATCCTAATGAACTGGTTCATGAAGCCTCACCTCAAGTCCCTCCGCCATTTGTTGAAGAAACTCAGCCTCAGGTGAGCGAAGATGAGGTGAAAACAAACACACAGGAATTTCAAGGTCACCTCTATGGTTATTATGATGGTTGCCCTGAGACCGAGGAAGAAAAGGGTGGCTCCTCCGACGCTAACCGGAGCAGCACCTCAGTTCATGCTCCGCCACATCTTGAATACAGTGAAGGTAAAGTTGGAGACAGCAGTGACTGCTCAGCCGCGGAAGACAAACCATCTTGTTCCCTCGCAGAGGGTGGCCGTCAGCAGCACGGGCATGTGGCTTCTCAGAACCAGGTAGAAGGAGTCAGATCTGGAACTCAGGCGAGTCCTGGGAAGAAAAGGAAGATGGCAGGACAAGAGGGAGAGTTACCAAGAAAGAAGCATTTCCACCATTACAGCCAGAAAAAGAAGAAAGCCCCGACCTGGCGCAGTGAGTCTCCTGCAGCCCCGGCGGGAGCTGCTGAGCCTGTGCAGCCCGATTCCTTAGTCTCTATTTTTTCCTCTCTGAGTATGAAGGAAGATCAGTCCTTGAGCCGCCCTAAGGCGAAACCTGGCAGCGACAGGGACTCACAAGTCGCTCCTAGCCGACCACATAAGAAAACCGTGATTAATCCTCCACAGAACCCAACGGAACCAGACGCTGACAAAGACGAGAAGGCTGGCGGGGACCCTGGGAAGAGTGACCCCAGGTCCGGCGCAGCGGAGAGCGGTGCCAGCAGGCCGAGCGCGGCTTCAGCGTCCATTATGGCGCCCAAGAAGAGAACTATTTTAAGGTTCCTTGAGGCCAGCCAGTCTTCGTCTGCAGAAAAGCCAGCTGTGAGTGCTGCCGAAATTCCGAAGGGTAATTCCCAGCAGACTCGTTTGAATCGTGACAGTGCCAAAATGTTGCTCAAATCAATCAAAAAGGAGCTTTTGGAAAGTAAAAATCAAAGGAAATTTTGGAAAAAGAAGATGGCAGCTACACATCTCAAAATGTGTTTACTCAAAAATGCTTACAAAACCCTGGTTCTCCGGAAAAAATCAAGACGAGCTTCAGAAAAACTGGGTATTTGGATTCAGCTGAAAGCAACCGATATCTTTAGGAAGTACATTTCCAGATGCCCTGGTGTGCGCCGGAAGCGGCAGTCAAAGACCGTTCTTATTCGAAAGCAGCTGAGGAAGAAGAAGATAGTCGCCAGGAAGATAAAGGAGGCCAAGAAGGCGGCCGAAGAAGCGCGCTCCCGGTTGAGCCTCTCCATTAGCCCGGCCATTGCTGAAGAGCCCCAGCCGAGCGCCACTGCAGGGCCCGCGGAGCTGCCTGCCAGCCTGCCTGCCTGCCAGCCTGCCTGCCAACCTGCCAGCCTGCCTGCCAGCCTGCCTGCCAGCCTGCCTGCCAGCCTGCCTGCCAGCCT